GCCCGGTACTAATGGTACCATTAGTGCCGGTTCAAACGACTATGCATTAATGTCGGTTCATTTTGAACCTTTAGTACCGGTTTGTGCCACGAACCGGTACTAAAGGGGTTTGACCTATAGTCCCGGTTGGAGACACAAACCGGGACTATAGGGCAATTTTCAAACTCTACCCCCCCCCCCCCGCCTTATCGCCATTTCAATTTTGAAAAATACAAAAGAAAATGATAAAAGATTCAAAAAGTAAAATTCTTCGAGATGTAGTTATATTACTACATCTACTAGTTAGGAAAATTACTTAAATTTGGACATGTTTTGCAAAAAGTGTAGGGAAAATGTAAAACGGCTATAACTTTCGCATACGATGGGTGACCGGCCGGGAAGTTAGATGATTTGGAATGAGTGATCCACACTTGAGCAGTTAAGAGGGGTGATTAGAGACTAAATCATCAACTAATTCAGAAAATTGAAAATCGAAAAAAATCAAATATTTTTTACAAAATTTTCAAAAAAAAATTAAAAAAAAATACCTTTAGTACCGGTTGGTAACACAAACTGGTACTAAAGGTCCCCCATACCACGGCGCGAGCTCACGCCACGTGGTGGGCCTTTAGTGGCGGTTCGTGCCGAACCAGTACTAGGGGGGGCGCTTTAGTCTCCATTCTTTAGTGCCGGTTGTAGAACCGGCACTAAAGGCCCTTACGAACCGGTTTTAAAGCTCCGATTTCTACTAGTGTTGCTGAGCCTTTTTTCGTTTGTTATTCGAAACTTAGAGACTTTTGTTGGATATTTTACTTATTAATAATATTGGATATTTTACCCCCTTTTCGGAAAAACAAAAGTTCACACCACACACACGGGTAGAAAGTACAGGGTTCTCTTTGTCTCAGTGAAGAGCTTGGCACCTGGCCTGTAGTTAACAAGCGGCCTCAGGTGTAGTCCAGGGATCATACATACGGAAAAAGTCAAAAACAATTAATAGTCCAGGGATCATTGCTCTCACACGGATGAAAAAGTGAAAAAAAAACAATTAATAAAATGCGCCGGCATCCATCATTAGGTGCCATCTCCCTAACAAAAGTGTAATGAAGACCGAAGCATACTGCTTCTGGAGTATACAGCTATTTAAACCGGTCCTGATTCTTGTCTTTTGGCGAGGTGGGACTAAAGCTTTGCTGAGAGCAAACCTATGGGCTCTCGGCAAAGCTGCGGCGCCATCATTGAGCCGTTAGCCACTGCCGGACTTGCCACGTCTTACTACTTTACTGTATCGTAATGCTTCGCTCTTGGCAAACAAATCGTTTGCCGAGTTTGGTTCTTTTGCCGAGTGTGCTGTATTGCCGAGTCCAACTCTCGGCTTACTTTGCTTTGCCGAGTCTGGCTTGGTTTTCGGTGAAGAGCCTGGCTTTCATGTCATGTTCTTACAAGACGAACTCATAATCGTACATCAACCAAAAATCCAAACACATTGAACTATAATAATCCACTCGCAAAACAAATAACCATAGGAAACATAAAAGTATATCACTTAGGTTATGTAGCACAGGTGTGCTAATTTAACCCAGTTCGTCCTGTGGGATTTTATCGGGGTGAACCAAAACAACCGAGC